TGCTGTTCTGACAACAGTTAAAAAGTCAACATTTGTCGTATTTTGATGTGACAAAGAATAAGAAAGCATATCCTCACATCTGGGAGGTTATTACCAGAAAACAGAAATTCCTATTTTGACACAATCTAATAATAAAAATCACCTCTTTCACTCCGCCGCTCTCTGCCCTTATCTCTGCTCCTTTCTCTGTCTCTGTCTCTGTTCTTGTCCTCTTTAGAGGAAGCGTAGACTCCGTGTTCACGTCTGTCTTTCTCTCTCTGCTGGTGTCTACGTTTGAACTCTTCACTGACGCCTCCGGGGTTTGAGGGCGTCTCAGAGCCAGTCACGCGATACTTCCTGCTGGTAACACAAAAAATAATAATAATAATATTCAACATTATTCATGTACATATATCTGTACACTGAAAATCCTAAATCAAGAACAGACTTCCTCTAAACGGTCTACAAGGAGTGTTTGAAAGATGTGGTATTTGCTGAAGGGTAGTTGCCCCGTAACTGTCCAAACTTTTGGCACATACCACAATTAATTTTTTCTTCTTTTAAGCACATTTAAAAAACTAACAGTGCATTCACATTTGAAGACAGGCCCATTTGAATATTTTTTGCTGCAGGATTTACATTTACATCATTAACTTGAAAAAAATCCACAAAACAGAATTTGCTCAAACCATCGCTATGACTGTAAACATTCTCCATATTCTTAAATAATCAATATTCTCCACGAGGTACTTTCACTCACCTCTCCTTTTTAGTACCACTATCCTTAGTATCATCTTCGTCATCAGACCCAGAGTCACTTTTACCTTCCTCCCAGTCCTTGTAGGAGGAGACCTTGGACTTCTTTCTATTTCTGTCATCACCACCAGCATCTGCCTGTTCCTTAGTCTCACGCTCCTTCCTTTTCTGTGCTGCCAGTAGATCCAAGCCCAGCAAAGATGTGCGTGGAGTGGGTGCCCGAAAAACATGCTGCTCTGAAGCGGCACTCTTCTTCTTTACTATCAACCCACCGACCTGAGCAGTTGGATCAGTCCCCTCCAGCCTATGCATGGACACGTCATCGTCCATTTTCTGTGGGGAAAAAATACGTGTTACACACAACAGCAGCTGTAAAATATAAATGCTTACTGTCAAATAGCTATTGTTATTAAACTAATGGTTTGAGCTTTTAAGTGTTGGGTATCCCTCAAACTAGCAAGTATTCAGTATTACTTATCAATAAATCTGTCACGATTAATCATGAAACTCGCAAAGTAAAGCATTTATCCTTAATAAAAACAAACAAGTTGATAATTAGGGCTGCAAGGTGGCTCGGTGGTTAACACCATCGCCTCGCAGCTAGAAGGTCATAGCAAGGTATAGAGAACACCCGGGATCTTTCTGCGTGGAGTCTCCATGTTCTCCCCGTGCAGCGTGGGTTCTCTTCGGGTTCTCCGGCTTCCTCCCACACAGTCCAAAAACATGTTGAGGTAAATTGGTGATTCTAAATTGTCCGTAGGTGTGAATGTGAGTGTGCTTGGTTGTCTGTCTCTAAGTGTAGCCCTGCGATGGACTGGCGACCCGTCCAGGTGAACCTGCCTTCACCCTGAGTCAGCTGGGATAGACTCCAGCCCCCTGCGACCCTAGTGAGGATAAAGCGGTGTATAGATGATGGATGGATGTTTTTGGACTGTGGGAGGAAGCCGGAGAACCCAGAGAGATAATGGATGGATGGAAGTTGATCATCAAAATTGTTGCTCATTCATTTTCTGTTCATCCACTAACATTTTAATTTAGAAAACAAAGAACAGCTTCAAACCCTGACAATGGAGCTGAAGCTGAAAGAAAACAGTGTTTGTTATTCAGTTTTGTGTTTTTAAATCACTTGACGTATTTACTGACTAACTGCCTATTGATCTTCCAACAGATGCAAACCTTAGCTGGAATTATGTCAGCTTCCCAGCCAGGACATAAAGTAAACAGTAAAATTACAGACCTTTGTCTTTATCTACCAACAAAAAAATAATAATTTGTCCAATTCATTTCTACTGTAAGCTCGAGCAATATGTTGCTTTACACAGAAACAATCTACTGCACATAGATAAGTTAGCAACCAAGTCAGAACTCCTCATAGATTAGTTTGACGATTACATTCATCCTTCTAGTCAATATCCCGTTTGTGACTAACATTACTCCAAGATTTTTTTGTTTTAATAACGATGCTAAGTTCATATTGACTATCTTCGCTTTTCTTTTATGCCGCTAATAGCTGAAGTAGCTGAAAACTAACGGTAAGTTTTACTACAGTGTTATTCATTTTTGCAGTAGCCGCTATAAACGTGTTAGGAAACGTAAAGTGCACGTTTAGGCATTTAACTGTGACTTGTAAGATCCTGTAAGTTAAACTGAGGCATATTTTCTTCCATAAATACTTGCATGAAAATATTTAACTACTACGTACCTCAGTGTGAGCAGCTAGCGTTAGCTAGCCTGTTAGCTGTTTCTGTCCCAACGAGCGCGGCAAACTGTAAGGATTTGCCGGATGTTTCTTTGAGACCAGAGTGTGTATACTCTCACATTAATGTTGGGGTTTCAGGAGAACCAACGGAGAAGAACAAGGTCCAAATTGAGGACGAGGGGCGTCCTGGAAAAATAATTCAACTGCGGCTTTCGTAGACACAACGCGTATGTTTACAGACCAGGGAGCAGCCATTACGATCCCACAATCCTCAGCGGTGACGGCGGAAAAATAATGACAACTTTATTTAAACGCGACGTTTGACACAGCGGGA